TTATGACTTTACTTTTTCTATTTTCATTTCGCAAAAGTATACACCTCTTGGTGTTTGAACTGTATATCCAGAAACTTCAGGTTTCTCTAGTAAGTTCAATTTTACTAGAATCGCAACCATTTTATTTGGTCAATCATTATTTCGATCGATATATGGTGCAGCACATCATGTGTAAAACTATTGTCGGCAACCTTTTCTTCTATTGTTCAATTCTATTTCTTTCTCTATGATAACATAACTTATTGAGATATCTCAAATTTTAATATATCAGGTACCTGAATCTATTCTGGAGTTTTATAATTTGTTATGTCTAAATACTCATAAGAGTGTATGCCTCCTCAATGATATCATCTTTGCTAATTGCTCAATTTGGATATTTTTTGTATTAAAATCGAATATCATCAAGTTTCGGGTGTACCTTCGAATATCATATTAAATAATTGTCATCTTTGACGTTAATTCAAGTTGGAGCATTTGAAGCTGATGTGTAAGATATTATTGATCCATTTGATCAGTAAATGCATCTAAATAAATTATATTTCGAACTTCTGGTTCAAGTGATCTTTTGTGAGGATTTAGATAATAATGTATTTATATATTATTTTCAACTTTTTAATTCCTCCCCCTAATGCTGAGATAATTGTCAAATTAAATTGACAAATATTTTTACTGCATTACAAAATATCACCATTTGTAATAATGGTTCATACCACGCATTTATTCTTAGCATTCATTGCTTTCCATCTCAGTGCATTGTGGTGGATCAATTTTATACATACTGCACTATCAAAATAATTAGACGGAAAATTTAGGCTCTGACCATAAGCCAATTTTAATAGGGAGAACTATGATATTCACAAGATGCGTAATAAAATTCCCTAAACGAAAATAGGAAATATATTTTTCTCAATTAAATTAATTGGAGACGATTAATAAACAAGCTTGTTAAATCATTTATCGACATATCCAAAAGCACTCATTAAAATATTGAGATTTATACCATCTAGTATCAATAAGACACGATTTTGATTATTTAATCTAAAAATTATGCTCATACTTTAAAATTTGAGTAATAATTTCTCAAACTTTGGGTTGTGAATACTATGTAATCATCTAGTATTTGTATCAAATTTATTATATACAAATAATATTTAGATGGTCAACGTGGTGGGTAACGGGACCCCATATATCACTCTAATTAATTTTTAGATATATAGAAAATTCAATCTCAATTTTAGCTAGTGGCCTTTAATGATCAATTGTCGAAAATGAGAACAAATGATACATATAAATTTATTGGATTGAAGAATTTTCTAATTCTTCATTTTGATTTCGCATCATTGTTGATTCAGTAATGGTCCAACTGGTCATGTCAATCAAATTGAACTTCTAGTTCAATATATGATATAATCCAATTATTTAATTTCGAAGAATATGATTAAATATTATATAATTATATAATGATCAATGTTCACGTGACATAAGTCGTATTTTTTCCTCCAGGGATAAACACAAATTCAAAATTATATATTTTTCGAAAATGTGTTACTTCAAGAGCATATTTAAGACTAATTATTTCTTCTTCAAGAGAAATACATAAATATTTTTCTGAAATATTGATATATACCTAGTTATGATTATTTACAAGTGGTAGAATAATATTCTTCAAGAATATTGACACATTTAAATTAATCATAACATTTTTCTAAAATATTAATATGCATAAATTTGTGCTTCTTTAGGAACACAATACTGTATTCTTCAAGAATACTAGTATATATTATTTTTACTTCTTTTGGAACAATATATCAATATCTTTCTTAAAAATATTGAAATTATAACGGCGTGCTCTCCAATAGCATATCATTCTTTGAGAATATTGAAACACCAAATAGTATGCTCTTTAAGAGCGATAAATCAATATTTTTTTCGAATATTAATAAAATAAAGAAATTATTTTCCTTTTAAAAATTACTGCCAGTATTGAATTATTTGTGTTTCTTAAAGAACACAAAGAGATATAATTCTTCAAAATGTGTGCTACCTCGAGAGCATGTCGTATTTTATTATTACTTCAATATTCTTCTGGAATAGTGAAAGTTATACAAGAATTTATTCTTCAGGAGTAAAAACACAATTTTCTAATATGCTCTTCGGGAACAAGTAAAATATAACTAGAACATTTATAATAATGTGCTGATTGAAGAGCAAAAATATTTTATAGTAAACAAATATACGAGCATTAAAATCATGTATTACAAGGGTAAGAACGAGATAATTAATCAAACAATAAACAATAGTAATGGACATTTAGCGATGAACCTAATTTAATATATGGTACTTATACAATGACAAACCGCAATAATTAAGTGCCCACTTTGTTTAATATAAATTTAAAATTTGTCACCAAAATTTAACTAGATACTATGACATAATTATGCATACATATACGCGTAAAATTAATATTACCTTCTATCGAATATGAAAATGAATTGCAAACTTACGTAGACATCACTGCCTCAGAACCTCCAAAAATGGTACAAGAAGGAATTGATGATAAATTTGGGTGGTTGGAACCTTGGATATTAATCATTGACCACGAAGGAGAATTGCACACGTGGTTGTCACATATCTTGGGAATGGTTAGACACATAATTTAGATGAATACGTCTATTAGTAATATCATGCTCTTATATAGCAATTAATATTCTTTTGGAATATTTTTATAACGTGAGTTGTGTTTCTTCGAGAATATCAACAATATATTCATTTAAAATAAATATAATTTAAGTAATATTTCTTCAGAAGTATTGAGTCAATATTCTTCTAAAATATTGAAATTGTAATATTCTGGAGTAATTAATATTCTTTTAGAATATTAATATTGTCGTGCTACTTCAAGAGCACCAACAAACTCTTGTTTAAAAATATTAACTTTATAAGAGTATGTTATCATTATAAGATATTTATCTATATGAAGATCTACTCTTTTAGGAGCAATAAACATAATATTCTTCTGGAATATGAAAAATTTTAATGTCATGCTCTTCAAGAGCAATAACATATTATTGTTTACAGTAATAATTAAGTAAGGATTTACTCTTTAGAAGTAAAAACATAATTTTATGCTAGATATTATATCATTATGCTCTTCAAAAGCAATAAAATTTAATCAGAACATTAATATTTAAATACGTATGCAAAAGAATGGACACGTCAATAAATAGATAAATTTATTTCGTGATTTAAATAGAATCGATCAATATTTTTCAGGAATATTGAAATTATAATATCTATTCCTTTAAAATATTAATAATATCGTGTTTCTTCAAAAACACGAACACAATTTTTTTTTTTTTTTTGAAGTTGTGCTTTCATCAGGCACACAACAGACATAATTTTTAAGAGTATATATACACTATTCTTCTGGAATATTAACATTAACGGTTTGTTCTATCTTTCAAGCTAAATAATAAAATTTGTGCTCTACATAAGTAACAATAAAATATTCTTCTAGGATATTAAAAAAATATTGTTCATGTAATGTTGTGTTACTTTAAGAGCAACAACAAGATACTCATCTATGATATCGATCTAAGAAATTTCTCAAATCAGGAAATAAATTGAATTTTATAAAATCCGCTCTTTGAGAGAGAGTAATATTATTACCATCATATGAAATTTAATAACCATGAATTTTGGATTCTTCAGGAATAACAAAATATTCTTCATGACCAATATGTCAATGTTGTGTTATTTTTGGAACAATAAAATGATAAATTCTTAATTTGAAGTTCATAGAATAATATCTAAAAATATTTAATTACCATATAGACATAATATGAATTTACATACAAGAATTAATCACAAAAAAATGTATAAGTAAAGAAAAGAAATCTTCGAAGCATGCACGTGAAAGGAATATTTAATTACCATACAAACATGATATGATGTAAAAATTAATTACCAAATAGATAATATATAAATTTATATTTTAAAATTAATTACCAAACATGTATTAAGAAAAAGAATCTCCATACATAGAAGTTAACAAAATTGGCTAAATCAGTTATTGACTAAATCTTTTACCAACATGCAAAAGATACTAAACATGTATATGAATTTCACATATATATAGAAATTAAAGATAAAACTAATATGTAACATATTCAAAAGACAGAAATAATACCGAATAATATGTGAAAAAATGATTGTGTATGAGTATAAAAACCTGAACTAACATGTGTTCAGATTATACATACAGACATGAATTAGAATTAATGTGCATGTCGATGAAAAGTAGAGAAGAAGAAGCAATTTCATTATGATGCATATGTTTATTGAAATATTTCACACGTTACCAAATTAATTTTGGTACACGTGATAAATATTCATGCCTATAAAAATTATTACATTCGCTAAACTTTGAAAAATTAAGCTATCGTGTTGATAACGTGTTATAAAAGTGAAGAAAAGAGAAGAGAATAGAGAGAAGTCAATAAATTTATGTGTATTTTATTAAGGATTAAAGTCCTGTATTTATATGACAGAATTAAGGATACAACAGTAATAATTTCTAGAACTGTAGGGGTGTAATTGTCTTTACCTCTAAATTCTAATAAACTTTCTTTTTACAGTAATAAGTGATTTTTTGAAAATTTATGGTTAAAAAGTAAAAAAGTATTATGAGTTGACATGCAAATTCATTTTTCATTTTATTAAAAGAATTTGTAGTTGAAAATTAATTTGAATAGAATTAAATTTTAAAGAATCTACCACAGGGACTAACTCGTTTAGGGCCTGTTTGGAGTTATTTTTCCTCTCAAAAAATTGATTTTTTGACTGTTATTTCACGATTTCAACCGTCATATTTTACTTCTTCTTTCACATATGAATCCTATTTTTTTTTTAACGATCAAAAAATAAATTCTCAAAATCCCCCCCCATCTCCCCCTCCCCTCGAACAGCCTCTTACTTTTAAATCAACTTTTCAAAGTTAGCCAAAAAATGCTTAAGCGTACCAAGCGAGTCCTATACTCTCCCTAGCACACAATAACCAAGCAGGCAACAATGGCTTCCGGTGAATTGACGGAAGACAAGCTATCCGCCTGCTGTATATCGCACCAGTTCCACAAAGCTGCTTCGGAATACCCTGAAAAAATAGCAGTAATACATGCCTCTGGCTTCGCTCAAATCGCCCGGGAATTTCACCGTAATTACAACACGGAACAATTAACCGATGGCGGTAACAATGAATTTATTTCCGGCGAAAAGCCGTCGTCTTCTCACCCTCCGTGTTATGAAGGCGACCAGTGCTTCACTTTCTCCGACATTCTCTCCGCCGTTGAGAATCTCAGTTTTCAAATTAGGCGAATTCTAGATGGCGGAGATGATCCCTATCTAGATAAATCCCATCCAGGTATGATCATTCATGCGCATCTTTGTTAGTGAGGTGATTGATAGAGTTGATATTATTTTGAAATAATCCCATCTTTTGGCAACAACATAAAAAAAAAAAAAAAAAAAATATTGATGTGAATTGAGCAAAAAAAATAAAAAAATTAGAAAAGTGATTTTTTTGGCGTTTATGTTTGAAAATAGATATAAGTTTTAGCTATAATACCAACATGGAATTATATTTGTACTTGTCTGGCTCATGGTTGTTAAACAACAAATTCTGAACATTTGATTGTTAGTGTTAAAAATAATTCGTTTTTGTGGCAAGTATTAAGCAATTTATGATAAATATTAGGATGGGGGCAATTTGCAACAAAATTGGATGCAGAGAAAGAAAAGAAAAACCAGAAAGAACAAAAAGAGAGTAAACAAGTACTTCTAAGTAAAGCTGATAAATTTAAAAACCATCATGCAAATGGCAAAATTGATCTTATGTAGTTCTCTGATGTGGAAAAAAATGTTGAGACTTTTAGAGGGTCATGCTTACAATACTAATTTTAGTAAAATCTTTTTGCCCCTAATCATCATTTATTGTCCACATTCATGGTACCTTTTAGCCTAAGGGGTACATGATAAAGGGCTAGTTTGACAAAATCTTTCATATTCGATTACTGAGTGAAACTGTTTAGAAATCTGTATTATGTTTTGTGTATGTTTGTGTATTTAAATGTATAAATTTATCTTTTTATTATATGTGATTTTTTTAATTCACCTCGTATATAGAATAACACAAAAACCTTCTGACTTCCAGCCACTACCTATTAGCATCTTTCTATGACATCCTGCCAGACATAGTCTGAAGTAATCCCCTAATATATCTTTCTGTTATACTTTTTGGGCATTATAAGGCATTTTATATTTTATTTCCTAGTCTCAATTTCTTTCAGCTTTTGCAGTTAATATATCTAGCAAGAGGTCAGAACTTGTCCAGGTTTCTGAGTCTATGAAATCTTCCAGTCAGAGTTTACAGCACTCCACTAAGTTTCGGAACACGTATACTCCAAAAATAATAGGAATATTCATGGAACCTTCTGTTGAATACATTTTGGCTGTCCTCTCTGTTCTAAGATGTGGGGAGGCATTTATGCCTTTAGATCCCACTTGGCCAAAATCTAGGATATTATCAGTAGTATCTTTGTCAAAAGCTGATCTTATCATTGGGTGTGAATCTTCGATCTGGGGAAATTGCTGTCACAGGCTCGATACATATCAGTGGCTTATTGACGACGGAAATTGCCGTGTTTTATCCATTTCTTTGACGAACTGCATCAAAGAGCAATGCCATTCTTCACTATTAGCATGGCCTTGTGAAAGAGAAAATGTAAGGTCGTTCTGTTATCTAATGTACACATCGGGATCTACTGGAAAGCCTAAAGGTGTATGTGGAACTGAAATAGGTGAGCTTCATATCAGTTTCCTTACCCCGAACCATGGAATCTATTTAGTAACCAAGATTCAATAGAAGTTGGAATTTATACACATGACAATGTTCTTATACTGCCTGTTTTGCAGGTCTTCTGAATCGTTTTTTCTGGATGCAAGAAATGTATCCCCTACATGGAGGAGATCTGCTGCTTTTTAAGACACCAATAAGCTTCATTGATCATCTGCAGGAGTTTCTCGGAGCATTGCTTGCATCTTGTACGTTGGTGATACCTCCTTTCAATCAGCTAAAAGAAAAAATATTTTATATCGTTGATTTCTTACAGGTATACGAGCAAGTTAAAGATTATTAATTGTTCTCAATATTTGTATAATTTGTAGAATGCACGAGAGCTAATTCAATTGCCATGCACTTGCCGATTCCTCCATTGTTCAATGGGGGAACTTAAACCAGCCCTTTCTACTCATTTTTATTTATCTGTTTTTAGAGTCTGGGATGCTTTTCAACCATGTACCTTTAGCTAATGCTTTAACTACTGACACTTTTATGGATGTAGAAGTAAAGAACAAATTATTGTTTTCTTCAACATTTGTACATTCTAAAGTAGGACATAAATGGTTTCACAGGCTGTTACTCATTGCCGAAAGATAAACATAATGTTTTATTGCAATAACCCCACTGTACAACAACTAATCTAATGGTTTTGTAAAATGAAACATTAGTATCTCACGTTAGTTATGAGATAAAGTGCTAGACCAGTGTCTACAGATCTGTTCTTCCGCTTAATCTTCAAAGGTGGCAATAATCCTAAATCTACACTGTAATCCTTACAAGAGTTTTAATACTCTTGTTTAGTGCATAAAACCTATCTCTTAGCCTCTCATAACATATTTTTTCCAATGATTTTTGTTATCTAGGTGTGTCCAAATAAGTCATATATGCATCTGCAGCACAAGATGACAAAGGAGAAGTGACATTGATCACAATGAAAATTTGTTCTGCTGCCATTGGAACCAGGCACGGAAAAATGATTTGCTAACTTTTTATTGAAAACTCAAACTTTACATTGAAATTGCTGGATGGTGGCCAAAATCCCTAATATTATTAAGCTAATTACTTACTTAGTTATTTATTTATTTTTTTGTGGAGACAAATGAGTCGTGAGTTGTATGTAGAGACACGTGAAGTGTGACAATAAGATTCTATTTGGGACTAGATGCTCATTCCTTGGTGGGTGGGAATGAGCACTCCCATCGTTCTTTCAGCTTCTCGTGCATTTTCTTCATCTTAATTTTTTTATTTAGAACCTTGATTAAAGCTGGACGGATGAAAATGGATACTTTTATGTCATTTCTAAACATTAAAATAAGAGATTTATGTGGTTATTGCACGTCTGTATTTCTTTTGCTTCAGACAGGTGAATAATGGCTTAATATACACACTGGGTCCTCTTGGATTATATCTAAATGCCCCAGGCTGACCTTAGAGTAGTGAAATAGGCTTTTATTTCTTAATTAATCTTTGCCATATCAATCTATTATTAGATACTTGAACCTCATTTATGATGTTCTGCATTCATAATTTAGTATTCCTTAGCATGTCTGGTTCGCTCCTATGTACAGTTCTATTATTTATCTTATCCATAGAATTTAAGGGCCTGTTTGGCATGCTTATGTTTATTCTTTGTTGTAAAAAATGTTTCTTGAGGAAGCTACCTTGGGCAGCTGTCCTTCTAAGCAGACAAAGAACTTCAAGGAAATTATTCAAATAAGTGCAAAAGTAACTCCTTAGTGTCTTTCAAAAGCCATGTCAAAATGAACTCTTAAGTATCATACACCATGAAGAGCAATCAAATTGTTGCATTTGAACATGCCGATATTGAGTTTCCAGTTATAATTGATTAACTGAAGTACTTACACAGTGGAGCATTTCTTGTTCTGTTATGCAAATTTGAGGATGAGTATTTGTTTAACCATTCTAGCACCAACATAGGAAATCAATTTGTTGCATTTGTACATGTCAACATTAAGTTTCCGGTGACAGTTAATCAATAGAAGTACTTGCAGTTTTGCACAGTAGGGAATTTCTGGTTCTGTTATGCAAATTTTAGGATGAGTATCAGTTTAACTATTCTAACAGTAAAAGTTGAATCTTTTGAGATTTACTGTTAGATTTGTTTATTTCAAATAAAATTTCACTTCTCATTTTCTAATTTTTGCGTGATATGATTAAATTGAAAATGGTTGATTTTGATACTTTTGGTGGCAAAAAATTAACTGCATCAGCCTTTATTACTGTTATATATGCAGTCGAACTTTCAACACACTTTGCAGTGGTTTTATAGTAAGAGCCACCACGAGACTAATTTTAATGTCTACCTTACAGGGGTACTTTATCAACAGGCTTGTAGCTGTGCCATCTCTAATGAGGGCAATTCTTCCTTTTTTGCAAAGTCCATACTATGCAAACGTTCAAGCTTCTTTGAAGTTAATAGTCCTAAGTGGTGAAGTTTTTCATCTGCCCTTGTGGGAGATGCTTGTGAAGTCACTACCCCAGACTTCTATTTTGAATTTGTATGGGAGCACAGAGGTTAGATATAAGAACCCCATAATTTTTGTGGGATATTGATTGTTATGAACTATGATTGTTTTGAATATGAGAATATATCTTCTGATAAGAAGCCAAGTAGAGCATTCAATTTAGATGCCAATGATTGCACTACTTTAATAAGACAAGGCTCTCTCTTCCTGAACCCTATATCACGAAAATTTCTGAACTCTAATCCTGAAACCAACTTTTACTGTTCTTTCTCAATAAAATCACAGTGTCATCAAGATGTCATTTTTTCTTTCTCAAATTTATACAAGGTTGCATGTGAGGCTTTATGACTTACCAGTTCAAGCGACTTGTGTACTACTTGTCACCAGAACCTGATGAAGGTTCCATAATTATGCACTTCTCCTGAAATATGCTTGGAAGCACCGACTAATATAAGGCTAGGTTTTACCAATGGTTAAAACTAAATATAAATTACCTTGGGAACTTAATATTAGAATATATTTCCATGTATAGGTTAATAAAATCACATAAAATCAGGGATTAATTTCATTTTATAGCTAATTATTTTCTTTCCTTATATAACTTGTAATATTCTATAAATCAAATGTAATACACACGAGAAGAATTATTCCTCAAAATCTTGTCATGGTATTAGAGCCCTAAGTGACTTACTCGTGCGTGTAATTTTGAGTGATTGGTTCTCGGTTCATGGTAAGCGGCGCTTTTGTCTCAGGCGCCATTTGGATTCTTCGAATTACCTATGTACATTGTCTCCAACTCTTGTCCTGTGTTATCGGTCAGAGAGTTACAGCCTCGCCGTTCAAGATCTTGGTCATCGTCTCGTCTTGCATCATGTAGTCTAGTGGTGTTGGTCATAGTTTCCTTCTCGGTTCGACCGTTGGTTCTTGGTTGCAGTAGGTTTTCAACATCATGGTGGATGGTTGGATTTTTCGGTGTTGGGTTGGTGTTTTTGCATCTTCGATTGAAGTCTTCGATCCCAGGTTACACTCGGTTTCTTCTCTCCTTTCGGTTTGGATCGTGGTGTTGGTTGTGTACTTGGGTTATGGTGGTGTTGGGCTACTATTGATTGAATAGTATTGGGCTATTGTTTTAATTAATTATTAGTTGGGTTGAATTTTTTGGATTTGGTAGAATTTATTTGGTTAAATCTTGATTAATCTAGTTGGACCATACAAGATTCTATCATGCCAACCGATAAAAATGAGTCGGTTTATATTCTCTTTACTAGAATAAATTACTCCGGGCTTTTCACTTTCAATTATTGGTTGAAGGCAAAGGTGTTCTGTGGGGATATATTGATGGAAGTCTTTCGCCTCTTGATCAAGAGAAGGATAAAGAAAAGTATCTTGCTTGGAAAACCAAAGATTCTCGATTAATGGCCTGGATCATTGGATTGGTTGATGAGCAGATTGTCTTTAATCTCAGGCCTTACAAGTCAACCCATGCTATGTGGGAGTTCTTGAAGAACGTCTACACTCAAAGCAATAATGCTTGGCGAATTCAGTTGGAGTTTGAATTAGCAAATTTCTCTCTCGAGTCACGTTCCATTGAAGAATATTATTCAAGATTCTCCAATTTTTGGGCTGAGTACATAGAAATTATCTATACTTTGGTTTCATCGAACAATTTGGACACTATCCAAGCTATACATGAAGTCACCAAACGGGATGAATTTCTTATGAAATTGCGAATTGAATTTGATTCCATCTTGCCAGTCTTATGAATCGCAAGATTATTCCATCACTGGATAGCTGTTTGGGTGAATTACTGAGGACTAGCGTCTTATCACTCATAATTCTTTGGAACAGCAGTAGAATCATGTAGCACTGTCTCCTATTGCTTATGTGGCTGGAAAATTCAAGTCTCGGGATATGTTTATTATACATTGTCATAGCTGTAAGGGATTTGGTCGCATGGCTCTTTAGTGTCCGAGAAAAGCTTGCAATTATTGTAAGAAGTCTGGCCATGTTATTAAGGAGTGCCCCACTCGTCCTCCACGCAAGATTAGAGTAAATTATATTGTTGCTGCCACTTTAGCCACTAGTTCTTCTTCACCTCTTGCTCCTGTTGAAATTCCAGTGTAATGACCCGGGTCTCTGTACCCAAGCCGTTAACTTACATACTGTCCGCTTTGAGTGGACCTTGCGTCCACTTACCCCTCACGGCTTACTGTCGCGTCCCCAGGATTCGAACTCATAACCTTTCCCTTAAGTAAGACTTAAGTTGAATCCTGGTACCAATTGGACTCACCCAGAGCGGACAATATGTAAGTTAACGCTTGGGTATAGAGACCTGAGTCGTTATTAAAAACGTGCATTTTTTGTAACGATCCGGGTCTCTATATCCAAACCGTTAGCTTACGTACTGTCCATGCCCAATTGGTACCAGGATTCAACTTAAGTCTTATTTAAGGGAAAGGTTATGAGTTCGAATCCTGGGGACGCGACAGAAAGCCGTGAGGGGTAAGTAGGTGCAAGGCCCACCCAAAGCGGACAGTACATAAGCTAACGGCTTGGGTACAGAGACTCGGGTCATTACAAAAAACGCGCAAGGGATTGTGGGTTTTTTTCTACCAATTGGGGCTCTCCCTTCACCACCATCATGGGGATAGTCTACAGGGTTTATAACTACTCCTCTTACTACAGGACGCTTACCAAGGGATTTAAAGAAAAACATAGACTAGATTAGTAACAAGTAAACATTTGTGTGTATATCTCCAAATATTTTGGAGATAAATAGCACGTTTTTGGTAATGACCTGGGTCTCTGTACCCAAGCCGTTAGCCTACATACTGTCCGCTTTGGATGGGCCTTGTGCCCACTTATCCCTCACGGCTTTCTGTCGCGTCCCCAGGATTCGAACTCATAACCTTTCTCTTAAGTAAGACTTGAGTAACTGTCGTGTCCCCAGGATTCGAATTCATAACCTTTCCCTTAAGTAAGACTTCTTACTTAAGGGGAAGGTTATGAGTTCGAATCTTGGGGACGCGACAGAAAGCCGTGAGGGATAAGAGGGCGCAAGGCCCACCCAAAGCGGATAGTACATAAGCTAACGGCTTGGGTACAGAGACCCAGGTCGTTACATCCAGAGTTTCCCAACTCTTCTCGAACTCCCATAACTCCTGAGGTGGTTCAACAAATGGTTATCTCTGCTTTGCTTGCTTTAGGTATCTCAAGTAATACATCATCTACTCGTTCTTCTTGGTTATTAGACTCAAGTGCCTCTAGCCATATAACTCATGATCTTCGGTTGCTTAGTAATCTTAGACCATATACTGGACCTTACAATATACACACTGCCGATGGTAACACCCTTCCTATCTCCGCTGTGGGGGATATATCACCAGATTTGTCTAACGTTTTAGGTTCTCTTGATTTATCAACTAATTTTTTATCTGTCGAGCAACTTGTTGATAACAATTGTACTGTCTCTTTTTCTTCTCCTGGTTATCATGTACACGATCACGTGTCTGGAAGGACGATCATGAGAGGGGCCTAAGGAGGGACGTTTGTTTCCTATTTCACCGAAGCCTGTTCCATTTTTTTCTCTTGTTTGTGATACTGCCACTTTAGATGTTTTTAATTAACATAAAAAATTGGGACATCCCAATTCAAATGTGCTACAACACTTGTTAAACTCAAGTTTGCTTGGTAATAAAAATGTTGTTTCAGTTATTTCTCTTGATTGTGCTTCATGTAAACTTATTCAAATTAAAGTTTTACCTTTTCTGTCTCACGTGTTCTTGTGCTTTACATATTTTCAATGTTATTCATAGTGATGTATGGGGTGTTGCACTTATGTTATCTCATGCTCATTATAAATACTTTGTTATTTTTATCGATGATTATAGTCGATTTACATGGGTTTATTTTCTTCGTGCAAAGAGTGAGGTCTCTCTACTTTTCAAGTCTTTCTTGCTTTCATTGGCAATCAATTTTCCTCATCAATCGAAGTCTTAAGATCTGATTCGGGAGGTGAATATATATCTAGTGCTTTTCAATTTTTCTTACAAATCAAAGGTATTATTTCTCAGCGATCTTGTCCTTCCACGCCTCAACGAAACGAAATGGCAGAACGCAAGAACCGTCATCTTCTTGATATGGTTCGAGCTCTTTTGATTGAGTCTTCTATTCCCTCTTGTTTTTTGTGTAAAGAATTGTCTGCCGCTGTACATTTAATAAACCGATTACCTTCTCACACTCTTAATAACGTTTCTCCATTTTTTAATATCTTTAGTTATCATCCTACATATTCTCTTCTCCGTCCTTTTTGGTGTGTATGTTTTGTTATTTTGCAATCACATGAAATGACAAAACTCACCCCTCAATCTGTCAAGTGTGGCTTTCTAGGATATGGTAGGACTCAAAAAGAGTACGTCTGTTAGGATCCTACGCCCCCTTTGGCCCCATTTTGTGGAAATGAAAATGGGTGGAATAATATATATTTTTTTAAATGAGTGGTTGAAAAAGAATGAAAAATTTTCGTTTTACGTGTAATATTATTTTATGCAAGATTGTGTGGTTAAAAATAGGAAAGAGAAAAATGAAATGGAAATTAATGGGGGCCAAATGGGGGCTACCTTGCAACAAATTCGAATTTCTCATAAAGTTATTTTTTTGAAAAACAATCATTCTTTAGTTCAGAAACTGTGGTTTCCCTTCCTATGTTCTGTCTTACCTGATTTCCCTTCAGAATCATCTCGGTAAAAGCCCGGCCTTGTTTACACTCGCAGGGATGTTGTATCTATCACTAATCCGGATCTTCTTTCTCAAACAACGGTCCTTCCGAGCCTCTTTGATCCTCTACCTACGATGCCTAATCCTGTACTTGATGATTTGTCGCCTCCTATCCCTCTTCGTCGTACTTCTCGTGTTTATCGACCACTAGATAGGTATGATTTTTCCTCCCATAGTTCTATTTCTTCTACACTTAATTCGATTTCTATTCCTTCTATAGACTGGCTATGAAACATGAATGTTGGCAACAAGCGATGAAAGCAGAACTCGAAG